TAATTAATGTGGGGAGAGGCCACTTTGGCTTTGATGTAAACCAAGGTGGAATGAAGCCGAAAAACACAGATTCTAACGTCATAGAGAGAGCATATGAGATGCCTCTTATGGAGGGGTCTCTGACAGAGGATTACTCACAAAGTACACAGTAAAAGTACTTCATTTTATTTCTGGTAGAAGTCAAACTAGAACCGAGTCCAACAGTGTCAGTTTCCTTAAGAACTTGTGGTAACAAATATTTGTATTACTCGTCAAATATAGCAGGAATAATGAAGAGCAGCTGATCTGAAAAAACAAACGCGAGAGGCGGCTGAGTTGACCGCAGTGCAGAACCGCTGTATAGTTTAAATCTCCTAACAATGTTGTCCATTTTAGACATAGGCTTATTATATTTACAGCCCTTAATAACATTCATTTTTTGGGCTCAATATGTGTCTTGGCCGTTTTCGTTGTGATCGCTAAATTCCCCTTGTTTATAATAATCACGTTTCCTTCAGCAGGATACTGTAGTGATTCAAGTGTGATTTTAGCAAACGAGTGCTTTTGTTTTGAAATCACTTCCGTGAGTTTCGCCCCGCCCCTCGCTCCAATGACCATTAGACCATTTAGTAAGGTAAAAAGCAAAAAGGCCTCTCAGACGCTCTTCCGTTTACGTGTTTAATAAAGAAAAACAATTGGACGGTAGATACACGGGACTGTAGTTGGAAAAGTAGTTCATATATTTATCCAATTGGATACCATATGAACTTTTTTCTTGACAGTTTACACTTTTTTTGTGCCTCCACTTAATCCAAATAAAATGTGTTAAGAAGAAAGTACTGCTCGAATATTTTTAAACATTGCTAACACCTATGCTTTTGTGCTTTTACAAAAAGTGTTATTTCACAACAATACTCTAAAAATCACATATCGACTCTACACTAGCTGGTGCACAACAATGTGTTATTATGTGTTTTAGGACTGACATACTACATGATATATTTTGTAATATTCCCATAACTTTATTTATTTAGTGCTACATGTTTTATACTACAGTGCGTGTCTTACCCTCAGGCTGGCGGTACGGATGGTAGATGTGGATGTCCATGGGCCGGTGCAGGGTGCTGATCAGGGTGGTCTTGTTGGTACCCAGAGACTTATGAGCTCTGTTGATGGACTTTGTCTCCCAGTCGGTCCAATAGATGTGCTCTTCAAACAGAGTCATGGCAAAGATGTGGGGGATGTCTTGGCTGAGGACTGCAAAGGAACAGACAACAATGGAATCACATGGTTCATGATTTGTTAGGTACAGTAAATATGTTATGAGAAGGTTACCCACTATCAGAGCAGTTTTGTTAACACAAAGGTCTCCTGATTTGCTTAGATTTATATAATGTGCTTCAATAACAGGCACAGATAGACATCCTTTCTATGCTCTCCCTAACAAGGAACTTAAGAAGATGAGATGTGTGCATCCAGCTCACAGTATAAGCGTCTAATCAAATAAATATGAAAACCCCCCCAGTTTTCTTTTAGTAATAAATGTGTTGAATTTCCAAAATACTGAAAAAATTCAATGAAAAATAACAGACAATTACATAATTCTGTGATTTTAGCAATCAAGCTTTTCCCCAAGAGTAACTGTTGAAACATTCATGCACCGCTAATGTAAAACAGAGGCAGATGCACAGCTAAAGCGGCTCCACTGTTTGTTATGTAATAGTTTCTACTATATGCCTCATTAGGCTTACACTCTGATTGCACATTTCACCTTTTCAACTCCCCTAGCCTTTTCATTTCATGTGTTTGCTCCAAGTGTTTGAGGCTGTTGCGTTATGGAAACACACATTAGTTTCTGTTGTTAAACACAGCAATCTGTGTACATCACACACTTGGATAGGCACACGCAATACGACACACATAAAGCACACACATGGTACATGTTGAAAACAACTGGTGATGAGGTGACTATGGTTTTATTTTGATTATACAAAGTGGGGTGCTTAATTCAATTAAATTGTTAACATGTGATCAGACAAGTTGAACTGTTATTTGTCAGATTAACATGAGGCTCTCTTTGGTCAACCCTTATCTGAATTCAAACAGCCCTGTCTCGTTCTGCAAACTCACACAAGGCCACATTGGTGTTTGTATGGTGTGTCTGTGTGTATGTTTGTACGGAGCCCTGGAGGGTTCATAGAGAGAAAAATAAATAAAACGAGGCCACGTTTTATTAATTTGTGCGCAAGAGATGTAATTCGTTGCCTCAATTTAAATAAAACGAGGCCACGTTTTATTATTTTGTGCGCACGATATACTTTCTCATTCGCACGAGATACTTTCTTGTGCGCTAAGCGGTCCTACGAAGCTGGTTATCAACTCACTAAATCAACCAGGGTTTCTCTGTCCGGCTGAGAGCGCGTTCACGTGAAAGGGACGGGGTTAGCAACATGCATGGAGAAGCGTGCTGACAGCGCAGCGTAGGGCTGTGCAATTAATCGTATTTTAATCGCGATTACGATTATGGCTTGCGACAATTATGAAAACAGCATAATTGACAAAATACGATTATTTTGCTGGGTGCACTTTCACTAAAAGCCCACTCGGCCACGTGGGAGTGACATGTGTTGTGAGTGTTCAGCGCGAGCGAAGATGTCAGAACAAGAGCAGCAACTCGTTAAAAAGAAGGCTCGCGGGGAGATTCCCAGTCGATCGCGAGATGTGTCTAAAAATAGAACAACAATATTCTGTTTTATTGTTAATGTCCTGTAACATAATCTTCCTGTGCTTCGTGATTGGCCAGGGTCACCCCATGTGTCGGGCTTGCTTGGCTGGTGGGCAGTGGGCACTATTTCGCTGACGTTGTCCGTGTCCGTGTCAACCGGTGTCAGCAGGAGTGACAGTCCGCACACACACAAGACCGCAATTATGGCAGAAGCAAAAAAGCCCAAAATATATAATTTTCACTCCGAGTGGGAGGATGATTATTTTTTTATCTATTCCAATTCAAAGTCCATCTGTCTCATCTGCAATGCGAGTGTGGCTTTATCGAAGAAGGGGCATTTAGGAGCGGCATTTCAAAACAGTGCACAAACGCTACGAGACGGAATTCCCTCCTACTTTCCCTCTGCCCTACGCTTCCAAAAGGGGAGGGACCTGAAAGGACAGCTAAATGCACAGCAGTCCATTTTCACCAGGCCCAACAACAAGAGCAAGGCTGCTACCATAGCATCTTATCGTGTCAGTCACGTTCTTGCGAAACACATGACGTCTTTCAAAGACAGCGAAGTTGTGAAAGAAGCATTCCTGGAGGCTGCCGACGCGCTTTTGGGGACATTAAAAATAACAGTAGCATTTCAACAGGTTTTTGATATAATAAAAACTCAAGTTGGATACCGTTATTAATCAGCTGTAAGATTTAGTTTGTTTGAACTTATTCATTATAATTATTGTAAGGGAAACTTCTGCAGCAATGGAGAGTCAGGGCTCAGAGAGACACGAGGAGAGTTGGAGCTTTGATGTCAAACAATGATGTTTATTACAAGTCAAAC